GACCACACAAAAGGCCACATCATCTTGGTCTTTATACCTTCGAATCTCTTATTTCGTTTAAAATATAGATTAAAACTAATATATTAGTAGTTCATGAAAGTCATAATAATGGCAAAATGCAATTTCAACTACCTAACTGAAAAATTTAGAGTACATGGGAGACCGGCAATGCAACTTATCCATGCGGCATGAAAACCAAGATGGTGTGTCCTGAATTTTGTTGCAGTCTCATTACGTTGTATAGAATTCGTTTGACCTAACCTTGTCTTCAAAAAAGACTTATCATACGCCTTTGCTCTATATTTTTCGGACAGTATTGAAAATTTGATAACGCAAAATTAGCCACTAGCCTAAATTTCTTTGACTTTGCCTTTTACAGCATACAATTGTGAGATGTCGACAACAAATTAATATTGCTGGGCAAGTGGCCAAATAGAAATAATGAATACTTTAAATAATATTAGTGCAGACGCACCCTTCCAAGAAAAATTACATTTAAAGGGAAAGATAAAAGTACCAAAAGCAGTAATTAACGACGGGCTAGATTAAGACTCACTCATTATGTGAGGTCCATAGTTAGATCCTTAAATTCCACGAAAGGGAACTTCAAGTTAACCGTTAAACTTAGATTGTGCACGAAAAATAATTCCAAGCATCTAAGATGATAAAGCATCTATTTAACTTGCCAATTTATGGAAATTTTCTTGCATATACGTATTCAAATTTAAGTGAAAATTATTGCAGAACTTTCCACTAAACTAATTTAAATCTTTAAATTGTCGATACTAGTCAATACATAGTAATACCTGGAGATAAAGTTTAGAGAAAGGCTCCATACAGCTTCCCGGTCGGCGGGAACGTAACTCCTTGAAAACGGCAACAGGACATGGCAGATTCAATTCACTTTCAACCATTGATATTCCTGGTGACTTCCCTCCTCTCAAGCGTCTCACTTCTCTGTCTCGTCTACCACGAACGCCATGCTGTCGCTCAGTAGTTGCGGTCAACGTCGCCGACCCAGCAAGATAAAATTCTGAACCTGTGGCACGGTTTGTGAAGTGTACATATTCGCGAGCCAAGCCGGCATCTCCAGCAGGTCCATGAACATTGGCCTGAGTAGCAGCAGTATGAGGTAGATGGGTGACGATTCGGAAATCCCCTAATCTGAGAGCCAGGTGCTCACTACGGTTCTCAACTCCGAATACAAGTGTGTTGATAAGCCAAGCAGCAAAGTTGAGACACCAGGGCCGCGAAAGCCCAAGTACACCAGCGCGCACAAGTTGCATTATATAGGTGTAGAAATGCGGGCATTGGAACGCGGAGGTAGAGCTTATAACCTTAGCAAACAAAAGTGAACGAAGAAGAAACATGTGAAACTAATGCTTCGGCGGATGTTGTAAAGAATTTGTTTTTATTTTTAATTATAACCCCGCTTATGGTAGGTATATGCCTTTAAAATGAGACAAATGGACGAGCTAAGTTACTTTTTTGTCTGACCTAGTAAAGAGATTCAAGGTCGAACACATCGATTGTTAGCTAGATTCGGTGACTATCCTATCCCCTTTTGATAATCTCCTCTTTGTATTCCATTTAATATTTATATCATATCTGTCAGTTTAAAGCGACAAAAATGTCAAACTGTGGATAGGGCCTTGCATATTATTTCGATAATCATGGCATCAAAGCCAGTGCCTTGACACCATTTTAGTCCTATCATCAGTCAATCGTCAATAGTAATTATGACAATATCCTCATTAGAGTGACTAGTTTGTAAATAGGGCCTTCATTAAATATCTGTAATTTTCTCACGCATTTTATACGGAAAATTAGAACAAGCTTTATCTTTTTCATCGAGTATATGCCTACTTATCCCGATGCAAATCAGTAAGAAAGGATATGGATATTTAGGAGTTGCCCTATTCGGGCCCAGCACCAGAATATTTTTTAGCTTTATTTAGCTTCCCAGCTTCCTATATCAGCTTCAGCAATCAACTACAATTGCTTAACACCATATATTTTAAGCTATAAGTTAACCATCTGTTTCCCCATATTAATGAGCTCAGCCCTGATCATTAACTGCTTATTTTGCCAAAGTAAGTCGTGCTACTACTTTGAAGGATAACTATATTCCAATTTTAACCATGTATTCCGGTGTTTAGTTTGCATATCCGAAGTGACAACTTGTCAAGTATTTCAATATGACACTCATACTTTGGAGACCGCGGTAGTACCTCATATTTTAAGGAGAATAAACACTATGGG